AATAAATGTGCAAAAGGAGAACTGGAAACTGGAAAATGAAAATGGAAATGGTAAAGAAAATTGCAGGCAAATTGCGCTGAAAATGCGAGCGAATGGCTGCATTTGAGAGCGCTGAAAATGAGCCGCAATACAATTTAAATCAAAATAAACTGAGATTCATAATTTCCAAAGATTTGCTTAACTTTCATCTGCAAGCACCACGCATAGTCAAGAGCAGCGCAGCGCAGCCAGAGGCCCAAAGGATACACGCACAGGACATTGAGTAGCCTTGGAATTTGCATGGCTGCTGTGAACAGGCAAATATTTTTTCCTGGAAATATTACCATGGTTTTCTTACCTTTTTAATTAAAAAAAATAAAAGCGTCCAGCCCAAGCACCTGAGAGCAAACAGCACAAAAAGGATAACAAACGTCTGGGCATGGACAACGCAAAAATTGCGATTGCGAAAAGGCTGCGCTAATTAAAAATTTGCGTTGGCCGCCGTTTAAAGACATCAGCCGTTTTTCTAGGCCGTGAAAAATTAATAGCATTTTTAAATAGACTTAAGGCACTTGCACGGCTCTGCTTTATTTTCCATTATTTTTTATTTTCTACCCTGGAGCCATAAAGTGTGGACACAATAGCGAATTATATTGTTGTTGTTTTTCTTACAATATAAGAATAGCTGAAGGTAAGAACAATGGGCACGTCGCCATCCGTTAATTACTCTATTTGTGAGCTAGTCGGACCTTAAACTAATTGAAGAGTAGAGTAAATTAATTAAGATAAATATATAACTAAATTTATTAATTTGATTATTAATTAATTAATAATATATGCGAGCCACGAGAGGAATTTGAATTCGATTCGATATAAATGCTCGAGTTGAAATTAGAGGGCAAGCCTCAGATATACAGGGTATCCCTAGGTTAATCTCTCACCTTTTAGCTTGTGTTTTTGTTTGAGCAGAGGCTGCCATTTATATACCTAAGCTCTAGAAATTAATTAAACGCTCGCTTCTTGACAAGGTCATGGGGCAAAATGCGTTCTTTTGGCGCTGGCTTAAAAGAAAAATCAACAGAATGAAATTTCACTTTTTTTTTTTAGCTAGAGCTAGATTCTTTTCAAGGCTTTTGTTGCTCTGGCTTCGGCAAATGCTGCGTGTATAAAATTAAGCAATTAAGCAAATAGTTTTCGATACAGTTTCGCAGTTTGAGCAGCCAATTAAAAGCGGAAGAGAATTTTGTCTTAAATCGTTAATTTATTCAAGGATCGCATTAGCTAGCAACAAAGAGATGAAGCTGAAGCTAAGGCAATCGCCCGCTCGATGGCCATTCAATCAGCTTAAATCATTTTTATGGCTCAAGTCCGAAATTGATTCCCGAGCAGGCATTGGATAGCCAAACTGCCTGCCACGCCCACACGTTGTCACTGTTTTTGCAGGGTAGACAGACAAGCTAGAGGCCATAAATAAAGTTGATGTGGATGTGGATGTGGCCGTGCGTGCTGGAATATTTTAAATACAACAATTAAATGCAAATACCGAAAAACACAATAAGCAAAAATAAAACTCTATGAAACCTCGCCCATTCACTGCCGCCCATCCAGCCAATATCCTGGCAAACGTTCAACGGAGCCTGCCGCAGCAGCTGCAGAGCAAGAACAACAATTCCCCGATTGGGCAGGCCATCAACAGCGCTTTTTTCCCGATGCTAGCGCAAATATTTTTGAGCGGCAAAAAAACAAGCAACAGCCCGTCTGAATATATGGACTACGGCCACGCCCCAAAACCAGCAAAGCAATTGGCAATGGGTAAAAAAAAAAAAAAAAAAAAAAATGAGAGAGAGAGATATTTATATATATAAAAGGTTGTATAAGCTGTGGGGTTGCCCATGATGCGTGTGGTCAGGAGGAGGGGCTGCAT